ATCAACAGTATGTTAGGCAAACCAGCCAAAACACATAGCAATAAAAACAGTGCAATAAAACAAACTACCAGTAAAAACAGAATGTACAGCAACACAGAGCAGAAAAAGTACTTATCTGTCTGAGGAAGCAGCAAAGAAAGAGGGGGATTGTGGGAGACACAAGACTTATATAGCTACTTCCTATATCCTGTGATTGGCTACCTGTTGTGCCTATACAGTTTTTTCTTCAGTTTTGATAATATTTATATTTCTCTTTCTTTGCTGCTGAGGAAATAAAGAAAGAGTTATGCATAATATGAGCCTCCGTGTCTTTAATAAAATTCCATTTTTATAATATATTGTTAACCAGGTTGGATAACTTTACCAGCTCTCCTAATTTGCAGTAAATATTCTAAATATTTGTTCAAAACACTACAGATCCCCGTTAAATGAATAGATCCCACATATTTCTTTAATTAGGACATGTACTGAAAATCTTGGAACAAACTTAAAACAAATCAGCAATCTATGTACAGGAAAGCAATTCTATATAACTCTGAAGAATAATAATAAAATGAATAATAATATGGAAACAGGCAGATAGATTTCCAAAGATAAATATTTACTACTTTCCCAACAAGCCCAATAAAACGCATTTGTAGAAAGAATAAATAAATAAATAAAACGTAATTAGGGAGTCTGGGAGAGATTTAACTGCTGTAACAACAAGGTTGCCAAATGTTTGAGTCACTGTCAGGTAGGTGTTTACACCTGGTTACTAAAGGGATGGTAACTATTAACTTGTATGAGACAGACATATTGGTCTTAAAGAGATAGTATCACTGAGTGTGAGCAAGGATGCATTGTATTGAATTGAAAACTGTACTGGGAATTTAAGCAGAAGTAGCTTATATTGTAAAAAAAATAAAATAATTTAAAATCAGCTAAAGCCACTGCATTCTAGCCTGAATTGTACCATTTATTTTTCGATTCAATACAATTCGATGTTTAGTGAATAGACCACTTAGACTTAGACTAGTGAGCCCAGCATCAAATATCTTGTACAACTTAAAATCATAGCAATACAATATTTATTCATCTACATAACATGATATTGATTTATCAGGTTTTTTTTTTTTTTTTTTACACATTATTGATACAATCTGCTATTGAGTTAGGATTAAAAAATTGTAAATTGGAAGGACTGTGACTCCCATCAGTCATCTACATAACCTGTATTGACAGTCTATACCTGGCCTTTAAGAAGAGGCAATAATTGTACAGCGCTACGGAATCTGCTGGCGCTATATAAATAATAAAATAATAATAATTATAATATACATCATATGCATTAGAGTGTGTAATTATTAACAAGGTATAAAATATCTCTTTTTATTTTCTTGTGATTCTTGTAATTATCACGTATCCCCCTATCCTGGGACCTCAGCTCGATTCAATTTGCTCACCTCATTAATGATCTGAAACAATTATTTAAGTGAAATCCTGAAGAAGGGCCTTTTGTGACCTTGAACTTGAGAGATCACTCAATAAGAGGTGTAGTAACAGCTACTTTAAGAAAGTTTCCTGCGGAAGATATCGTCAAAAGAAATAAAATGAAAAAATATTTTAAAAAAAATAAATAAAGTTAAAAATATCCCAATTCTCCTTGATTTCCCCAAACTATCAGGCTGGGATATATTTTATTTAGGAATTACACCTCCACCTCCTTTTCCCAGCTGACTTTCCCCCTTTAAATGCTTAAGCTGCTCTGGTTGATCGCTAATTAAATTTTCTTTCTTTGCGGATCACGTCTAATGGGCCCTGGGTGAAAGAATAATTAGCCAGTAACATTTCATGGCTGGTTGGGCCAGGAATTCCCAGCGAGCTGCAGTCAGCAGTCTGTCCCCAGACAGAATTCCCCTGTGCTCCCTGGTGCTAAATGACACGCCAGCAGAGACTGGCTCAGCTACCCAGCACGGCTGCTACAGCTCCCAGATAGCCAGAGCACAAAGAATAGAGCCAGGGAGACACTCAGCTCCCAGCTAGCCAGAGCACAGAGAATAGAGCCACTCAGCTCCCAGGTAGCCAGAGCACAGAGAATAGAGCCACTCATCTCCCAGCTAGCCAGAGCACAGAGAATAAAGCCACTCAGCTCCCAGCTAGCCAGAGCACAGAGAATAGAGCCACTGAGACACTGAGCTCCCAGCTAGCCAGATCTCAGAGAATAGAGCCACTCAGCTCCCAGCTAGCCAGAGCTCAGAGAATAGAGCCACTCAGCTCCCAGCTAGCCAGAGCACAGAGAATAGAGCCACTGAGACACTGAGCTCCCAGCTAGCCAGAGCACAGAGAATAAAGCCACTCAGCTCCCAGCTAGCCAGAGCACAGAGAATAGAGCCACTGAGACACCCAGCTCCCCGCTAGCCAGAGCGCAGAGAATAGAGCAGGGAGACACTCAGCTCCCAGCTAGCCAGGGCACAAGAAAAGAGCCACTAGCTCCCAGCTAGTCAGAGCACAGACAATAGAGCAGAGACACTCAGCTCCCAGCTAGCCAGAGCGCAGAGAATAGAGCCAGGGAGACACTCAGCTCCCAGCTAGCCAAGAGCGCTAGCCAGAGCAAAGAGAGAATAGAGCCAGGAGACACTCAGCTCCCAGCTAGCCAGGGCACAGAGAAAAGAGCCACTCAGCTCCCAGCTAGTCAGAGCACAGACAATAGAGCCAGGGAGACACTCAGCTCCCAGCTAGCCAGAGCGCAGAGAATAGAGCCAGGGAGACACTCAGCTCCCAGCTAGCCAGGGCACAGAGAA